CTCGCGTCGCCTCTGGGGGCGAGAAAAAAGCCGCCCGGCGGCCAAGGACGCGGGGTGCTCCCCCAGGCGCGCCCCGTCTCTAAAAACGCAACCAAGGCGCCCCGCAAAGGAGGCAAGCGAAATCCGCCGCCGCCCCCCGGGTCTGCGCCTCTCTTGGCCCCTACATCTGGCGCACTGCTCTTGGAGGTGGAGGTTCTGATGGCCTCGGCTGGCTGGTTTGGGGCCCCGGTTCCGAGCTCAGGGCCAAGAGAACCTCCGGTGGGCATAGAAAGGGCTCTCTCCTAGTTTATAGTCCTTTGGAAGTGATCAGTAGCCTTCTGGTCCATGTCGCAGGTAGCAGAGGTAGCTCCTCTGCCCTTTCCTGGTGTGTCCTTGTGGGTTTCTATTGGTTTGTTTATTTGGGAAATTCACAAGCCCCTTTGAGTTAAATAAACTTTTCCCAAATGAGATACAAACACATAAAACATCAAAATGCCAAGACACATCAGTGAAACCATGGCTGCTATTTAGTTACGGGTGGCTTCTTGGAACAAAAAATGTTGTCAACAGACATGTTCTCACATGCCTGGGACTGGCTGGTAGGGAATTCTGCGGTGCAGCCACTGACCCCTGAAAAGCTCTTTGGGAGGGGGGGGCTCTGTAAGGCCCACAGCCCCAGCTGGCACCTGAGTGTTGGGCTTTTCCTATCTCTTTCCCCATCCCTAATTTTTTGTAGCATTCAGCCTGATGAGGCGTTCTGGAGAGTTAAAAAGCTTGCACAATTCCACGGCTTTGGCTTGGTCCTAATAAAGGCATCATCACACTGTGAGCCAGGATGGAGCTCCACACACCCAGGTGCTTAGCTGGAGTTTTTCAAAAAGACAGGAACATGCACACAGAGAGAGAGAGAGAGACACTTATTGCAACTGCCTGTGGCCTCCTTCTGAGACATTTGATGTAATACCGGAGAGCACTTGCAATGAGAGGGCCCAATGTTCTCCCACCTTGTAACTTTCACAGAGAGAGAGAGACACTGCAAGCTGCCTGTGGCCTCCTTCTGAGACGTTTGGTGTAATACCCAAGAGCACTTGCAATGAGAGCGCCCAATGTTCTCCCACCTTGTAACTTTCAGCTCTTTTGAACTACGTCCCCTATCATCCCTAGCCAGGGTTGTTGCGGGTCTCCTTAAACAATGCCTTTGCATGGGTGGCTCTGGGCCGTTCCAGGAGGGAGTTGACAAGCAAAAGGAGTCACACAAGGAGGAAGTCTGGGATGTTGCAACAGAATCTAAAACGCCACTAGAATCTCAACAATAATTGTGAATTTCGTTGTATGTGTATATACTTACAATGACAATAAATTATTATTATTATAATGGGCCCTGTTCATTATTTATTGGTTTCCTTGGCTTTGCTATTGAAAAAATCCTGGCCCAGCAAACTGGAGGTGGTGCTGCAGGCAGCTCCTACCTTCCTCGTCGACCTCTGGTCCTAAATCTGGCTGCCAGTCCCAACCAGAGTGGGTCCCCGGAATCCACTGCTGAACAATACATTACCTACAGCACTGGTGTAAATCCCACTAATTTAGTGGGTCAAATTGGGGCTGCCCAATCACAGAATGATCAAATAATTAAGTTTTGTAGGGCTTATAAGGCCATCTAGTCCAAACCCCTGCTCAGAGCAGGAATCCAAATCAAAGCAAATCTGCCAAGTGGTTGTCTAAATTCCTCTTGAATGCCTCCAGCATCGGAGCACTCACCTTCTCCCAAAGTCATGGGGTTCCATTATTGTGCTGCTGTAACAGTTAAGAAATGTTTTGTGATATTCAGCCAATATATTGTTCTAACAGCCAGGACAGTTAAATCTTTTGATGGATGTGATTGCTTTGACAACCGGTTTGCAAACAAGTGCATAATAGAACCTGTTGCAGAGGGCAGAAACGGCTCCTTTGATGTCCATGCCATGCCCCTCTCCGCTTCCAACAAGATTCTGGCCTTTTTCCATTCTGTGCATAAATAGATACATGAAACCACCAGATATTACAATATGAACAATCCCTCTCAGCATTTTAACTGTCAACTAGGGATGTAAAAATAAGACACTGAATTCTTGTCTTCCTTAAGTCTCGACACCTCAACAGGGAATTTTGAAACCTCTCTGGATCCCATCTCTCCAGGTCACTGTGAGCACTCTTGTTTTCTTTAATCAAGACCCGTTTAATTTGTGCCAAGAGCCTCTGGTGTGATTTCTGTTTGGGAGGCAAAGCACAAGAGAGCCCTACTTTTTCTTACAAGACCAGAAATAACCCTGCTGTATTAAAGCTTCTTGGCTCACCTTTTGGGAGTTGGGGGAAGCCAAAAGTTCAGCCTGTGCAATCCAGCAGAGCCTTTGGTCCACCAGGCACCTTCTCTGAGACCACAGAGGCCAGGAGAAAAATCACACGTCGGCCGAGATCATGGGTGTCCGGCAAAGGGGGAACTCCTGTCTGAGCGGATTGAGAGGGCCATGCCTGTGTTTGCTCATTTGTCGTTTTCGCAAGGCCGAACGTACCTGTACGTACCCAGGGTGGTACATTGTCGTGGTTCCCCACCTTGGAGTCCCAGATGATCCTGGACTACAACTCCCAGAAATCCTGTCCAGCACAGCTAGTGGCGAAGGCTTCTGGGAGTTTTAGTCCAAGATCATCTGGGGACCCCAGTTTGAGAACCATTCGGGTAGTGGATGGAGGCTCGACCATGGAGTGTGGAACTAGTAAAACCACTCCTTAAATATCTCATACGACCTTGGAAGCCCTGTTAGGGCTGTTATAAGTCAGTTCTGACTTGACAGAACACAACTAACATAAATAATATGCAATAATTGTTAATCGGCTTAGAAGACTGTCTACTACACATGCATGCACTCATACAAGGTCTGTGTAACTATGTTGTTGTTGTTTTTCCTATCGTGCAGTCTGAACTGCAGCACATACAGTTGAGAAAAAACACTAAAATAACACTAAAAACACTGAAAGCTACAAGGCCAAACTTCATTCCAGGAATGGGGTTGTCCTAAACGGAGGACCAGATACGCTGTAGACCTTTACAAAGTAAGGGAGGTGACATACATTTCCCCCCACCCCCCTGTCCCATAGAATCAAGTCTGTTGTTTCAAACACCTTTTTCACTTTTGTTTTGCTTTGCTTTGCAGTTTATTTCAAGGCTAAGTTCTGCCAGGGCAAGTCCTTGCAAAGGAGGTGGTGTGTCAAGCTTGGACAGTCAGGATCGCCATACGGTGAAGTAAAAAGCCAGGTTCCTCTTCTTCCAACACAGAACGAAAGATCACAGCACCCAGTCTTTCCAAAACAAGGTAAGACACCTTTTTAAAATTTTGCTGCTGTTAATTCTTTAGGTCTTGCTTGAGTGGACATAGAGCCTTGCACGGGAAGAAATTAAGGAGCAAAGTTGATGTGGTCAGTCCTGCCTCTGGTGACCTCCTGGCCTGATAGACTCCATGGACAATAGCTGTCAGGGGTCAGATGTACAGGACATGGAAGCACATCATCCTTTCTGCCATGAGCAAAGAAGAGCTCAGAGAGCACTACGCTCTATGCTCTGTACCCTCAAGTCAACACTGATTTACAGCAACTCTGGCAAGACTTCAAAGTAAGTGAGATTCTGGGTCCTATCCCACCACTTTCCCCACCACCCCTATTGGTTAAAACCATCACATGAAAAAAGATTGAACCCACCAC